ATTTATTGACATCAGATTTAGATCAGAAAAATCTAAGTAAATATGATAAAATTGCTTATTGAACCAATAATATTGTTACATTAATATATAAATGTTAATAACATTAGTAATGTTACATTACTGTTGTATATAACTTATAATTTGAAAATTTTAATAAAGTTTTAGTAAAATTTTTAGTAAATTTTAAAATATCTTAAATAGATTTAGAAATTTTAATTTTATTTTATTTAAGTATATCGCAATTTTATGTATTTATACAACATACAAATTATTTTACACTCATTAATTAATTGCAATGATTTTGTGCAAACTATTATCATCATAAATTAAGTTTAATTGAATTTACTATTGAGTGACATTGAATGTCATAAAATAACTTTATGCAACTAATTGCATTTTATAAATAAATTGATAAATATAATCATCATAGTAAAAGTTTGTTAAAATAATTCTGAACATAAAATATATTGAAAAATAGTTAAAATTCGTGTAATGTTAAGTTGGTAAAATTAATTAAAACTTATAGCAACCCACAATATATACAGTGTATATTATACACAATATAGCTGATGAATACAAAAAAGCCAGAAGTGAAACATATCGCCGATATAGTGGGTGAATGGGGTAAATGGCAGTTCCTATTCAGCGCCTTCTGTTTCCTGCAGTCAGGCTGTGCGGCCTTTATTAACATGGGATATGGCTTTCACGCCAAACATGTGGACTTTTGGTGCGCCGACACACCAACCAATCTGACCGTAATTATACAACCATTATTATTTGTTCAATAATTGAGTGTACATTTTGTATATTTATAATTGCAATAATCTTATGTATGTTTTCATTTGAAAAGTCACAACATTTAAGCGATTCTATTAAATGTCATAAATATAATTATCCAAACGAAAGCTGCACTCATTGGGAATACAATAGGACTCAGTTTCGTAAAACAATCATCACTGAAGTAAATATTATTAACAATTTCAGATTAAATTAACTTATATTATAATTGTTTACATAGTTTGATTTAGTGTGCGATCGAGCTAGCTATGCATCTCTAACGCAATCATTTTTTATGTTGGGTTATGTGGTGTCGGGACTAATAATATCTTATTATGGGGACAAATACGGTCGAAGACCAATGGTTTTTCTTTGTTTATATGTATCAATAGCGGGCATTATTTCGTGTGCCTTTTCCTACAATATATACCAATATCTAATCTCAAGATTTTTGGTTGGTCTTGGCAATTCTGGCAGCGGTGGCGCTATTTTTACTATTTGTAAATCATTTTTACGCTTTTTAAAAACATAAGTTTATATTTATATTGTTATTTTATATTTAGTGCTCGAGTGTTGTGGTCCTAAACACCGTTCAGATATAGCAATATTAGCGGGAATTGGATGGGTATTAGGCTATGTATTATTGCCTGGAATCGCATATTTATTACCCGACTTTCGATACATGCAATTCATAGGAGCCGTTCTTACGATTGTAATGTTAATCTGGTTCTACTATCTGCATGAGTCGCCGCGATGGCAGTTGGCTAATGGACAGGTGGATAAGGCAGAGGTTGTCATTAAAAAGGCATTACAACAAAATGGCAAATCTGTGGATAATTTAAATAAACAATTAACACAATTGGCTACAAATATGGGCGCATTATCTGTAATTTTAATATTTGCCATAAACTGTACATTAATCTGGAGTTAATTTACTAATATTTGTTACTAATTAGGATAACAAAAATGATAAAAATCACAATATTATTGATTTGGTCAGAACTCCAAATCTGAGAAAATACACATTAATTATATGGTATTCATGGATTGTAAACGCATTAATTTATTACGGCCTCAGTTTTAATATGTCTGACTTTGGGGGCAATTTCTACGTAACATTCCTGTTGTCGGGTCTGATTGAGTTGCCCTCACAACTACTCACACCTATATTTCTCCGATACATTGGGCGACGAAAACTGTACGCAATATTTATGGCGATAACTGCGGTCTCATTGGTGGCAGTGATTCCCTCCCAGAGCTCATGGCTTCGGGTGTTGTTTGCATTGCTCAGCAAATATGGGATCCAAAGTGCGTGGAATGTATTCTTCGTTCACGCGTCCGAAATATATCCCACAGTTATTCGCAGCACTGGTAGAGGTGTGGCGTCAGTCGTCGGTCGCATCGGATCTATTGCCTCACCCTTTATGGGAGATCTGGTATTGGTTTGCGTTTTTTTATTATAATTTTATTTATTATGTTTTTTACTGTATTTTACTGTTAATAATTTTTAATTATATTCAGAAATTGTTAACAAGTTTATCATTTGTGATGATATTATACGGTGTACTGACGGCTGTGGGCGCTATACTAGGCTTGTATTTACCAGAAACTAAAGACAAGGAAATGCCCGATACTATAGAAGAAGCTGAGAATTTAGGAACTAAGAATATTATTTAATTAAAATAGTATAACAATGTTACCATAATTACTTTTATAGATGCTTTTTGATTATAAATAAAATATATTTAACATTGTATTACAGAATTTTAAAAAATTTAAATTATCAATTTATTTCTATTAGGTATATCATCTTTAAAGAGTTATCAAATTTTTATTTTAAAATTAATTTTGTTTTAAACAATACTTTTAATCTATTGAAATCTATCCAATAAATATTAAAACACAGATATAATAAATGTATTTGCATACACATATAATTGTTCACATATAACATTAAAATTTGGTTTCCAATTTGATAGGTAGTTAACTTAAGTTAAGTGCAAAGAGTGTAATTTCATATTAATAATAATATAATTTAAATTACGTGATCATAAATTTTTTAACAATGTAAGTGCAATGACCAATGTAAAATTGCTGATTGAATAATTTTCAATGTTATACATATTTATTATTATGATATAAACGTGGAATAATTAACATATAAATTGATAAAATATGATATCCAGAAGTACTTAAATTAAAATTGTAAGTTTTTCATTTACGTATTAATGTTATTCTTTATTTCAAGTGCCGTTATTTTCTCTATCTAAGCAAATATTTTGACAATAAATACACAAATCAATGTTTTATATATTCTTAATGTACACATAACTATCGCTACAAATATTTAACTTATATTTAAACGTTGAATTATATGTAAAGTTACAATTGCCTCGAAATTACTTATAATCATTTTACACAATTCTCTAAACAATTAATGATAGTATAAATTAGTGTACAGTGCAGTACAATGTGTTGCAAAACTTACACCGAATGTAAATTCATATACACATACTTTATAAACAAGATTTTATCACCCCTATATTTGGTTCACATAATAATAGAGACTAAATTAAATAATGTACAGTATAGATAAACAATCAAATAAAAACATTTTGTGACATACTGAACTAGAGCATTCATTGACAAATTATTAATCTGTTAGATAGTGTAATTATAATGAGTGACATTTGAGTGACAGGATTTAGAATTAAATAACAATAATTTATATTTACAAAAGCAGATGAACAAATATTAAGGTAATTCCTAATACCTGGGATAAATTGGAATTTAATCAGATTATTTAAATTCTTGATATTTATCATTATACCCTGTACATTGTCTCATTTTTGTATTGTATATAATTTGAAAATTTTGTTATTTAAACCTTAATTCAATATTCATAGTGTATTGATATTATAAACATGTGCTTTACATTCATCAAATCAAATATAATAATTTTGTGTAAACCTTTAATTATCTCAAATTAAGTGCAGTGAATCTCATTTAAAGATAAACAAATACTATAAACAAATTGATAAATACAATCAAATTAATAAAAACCACACGTTTAAGTGATTATTCATTCTAACAATTTTTAGATGTTTTATTTGTAAAAAACAATCCATGACTTAAAATATAACATAAAAACAATGTGTTAAATATATACAAGAGTGTATAAAAGTATGGACACCAAAAAGCCCGATGTGAAACATATCGCTGATATAGTGGGTGAATGGGGTAAATGGCAGTTCATATTCTGCACCTACTGTTTCCTGTTGTGGGGATCCGCGGCCTTCATTAACATGGGATATGCATTTCACGCTAAAAGTGTGGACTTCTGGTGCGCCGACACACCAACTAATCTCACTGTAAATTAATTTATTTTATTTTATGAATAATTTTATTAATAATGACGTTAATTATTTAATTTTTATTCAAATGTAATAATTTTATGAATTATTATTGCATAAAACTAAAGTCACAACATTTAAGCGATTCCGCGAAATGCCATAAATATACTAATCCAAACGAAAGTTGCACTCATTGGGAGTACAATAGGACTCAGTTTAGGAAAACAATCATTACTGAAGTAATAAAAATATTCATATTTTTATTGAACAAAATAATATATAATTAAACATCTATTGATAGTTTGATTTAGTGTGCGATCGAGCAAACTATGCCTCTAATTGGGTTCGGAAAAAGTACAACCCAATACACCACAGCCCAAAACAACACAGGGTGATAAGTCTGTTTATGCCAGCTGCTGGCTACCAAAAATAAACGATACCATAACTTTATAACCCATAATAAACGTGTGCCCTCTCCTATAATATATACCAGTATCTAATCTCACGATTGTTTGTCGGATTGGGTCATTCTGGCGGTGGTTGGGCTATATATGCAATTTGTAATTTAATTGTCATTTTTACACCTATTTTATACAATAATATTTGACTGATTTATATTTATTTAGTGCTCGAGTGTTGTGGTCCTAAATATCGCTCAGATATATCAATATTATCAGGAGTTGGATGGGTATTAGGCTATGTATTATTGCCTCCATTTGCATATTGGTTGCAGGACTTTCGATACATGCAATTCATATCGGCTTTACCAATGATAGTGATGATGATCTGGTTTTATTACCTTCATGAGTCCCCGCGATGGCAGTTAGCCAATGGACAGATAGACAGGGCTGAGGTTACTATTAGAAAGGCATTGCAAATGAACGGCAAATCTATTAACAACTTGAAGAATCAAATGATGCAATTGGCTAATAGTATGCAAAGAACTCCAGTAATTCAAAATTCATTAATATAATGTTATTAATTGTAACATAAATATTATTTAACATTTATTATAATTAGGATACAATTAAAAGTGAAAAAGGTCACAATATGCTCGATTTGTTTAAAACACCAAATATTAGAAAATACACGTTAATTATATGGTATTCATGGATTGTAAACGCATTGATTTATTACGGCCTGAGTTTTAATATGTCTGACTTTGGGGGCAATTTCTACATAACATTCCTGTTGGCGGGTTTGATGGAACTTCCGGCACAACTCTTCACCCCTATATTCCTGCGATATATCGGTCGACGAAAACTGTACGCAATGTTTATGATAATTACAGCCTTGTCTTGTGTGGCAGTGATTCCCGCCCAGAGCTCATGGCTTCGGGTATTGTTTGCTTTGGTCAGCAAATACGGGATCAGCACCTCTTGGAATGTACTTACTATTCACGGATCAGAAATCTATCCGACAGTTATCCGCAACACAGGAATGGGCGTCGCGTCAGTTGTCGCTCGTATCGGCTCTATTAGCGCACCCTTTATGGGAAATCTGGTATTTATTTTACATTTAATATTCTTATTAAAGTATTTTCTGTTTTTCCATGAATTTTAAATAATAATAATAAATTTAACAATTTATATAAATGTAGACACATGTGACAAGTTTATCATTTGTGATGATATTATACGGTGTACTGACTTCTGTGGGCGGAATATTAGGCATGTTTTTACCGGAAACTAAAGACAAGGAAATTCCCGACACATTAGAAGAAGCTGAAAATTTAGGAAACAATAATATTATTTAACTGTAATTATTTAATAGAAATGTTAATTTTATTATTTAATTAAAATTATTATGTTTACAGTTTAAGAAATGCTAAATAATAATTAAAATGTTAAGTTTATTTTGAATTTAAAAACATTCTCAAGTCTTCAATGCGTTTGTCTTCGTCGGCGATCTCTTCATCTGTTCTCAAATTTTTGACATAAAATTTATTCTGTTTTTGACGAATAATATCGTTATAAAAGCCTTCAATTGCTGTCATTTGTTCGCATAAAACATCGGAATTTGATTTTGGTTTCAATCGACTGATATGTGGCGAGAAATATAAATTATTTGGCAATAATGTTTTTGACGAATAATATCGTTATAAAAGCCTTCAATTGCTGTCATTTGTTCGCATAAAACATCGGAATTTGATTTTGGTTTCAATCGACTGATATGTGGCGAGAAATATAAATTATTTGGCAATATATCAGACAATAAGACACTTCTATCGATACACTTGTCATATAAATAGTCTCTTTCTTTTTGAAGTAATTTGAGTTCACTTTTCATTCGTTTTATACCAAAACTGTTAACTTTTCTTTCAAATTGCTTATAAAAATAATTATAAAGCAAATGATCGGCTCTATTGAGACGATTCAATTTACCCAAATATGACTTGTTTTTTAGTTTAGTTACTTTATGGCGTTTTCTAGCATTTATTTTAAAGACAGTGACATCCCTTATAGACCAACACAACTCATGTCTTAATAATACCAAACTTTCGTCCATTCGTTCTGTAATTAAAACCAAATCAAAAATTGAGCCCATTTTATGAATAAATTTATTAATTGCAACGTTATTATCAAATTGTGTTGCATTTAAACCTAAATCAAAACTCATTTGATTTCTACCAAATCTATTATAATATCTATCATTTATATCAATAGATTTTCCAATTGTTGTATTTGTGTATAATTTGATTAAAAATTCTTTATACGATGTGTTGTTATAAAATTCTCGTAAATTATAATAACTATATAACGATTCAAACAATGAGTTTGGTTTCCGTAATAATGTTATGAACTTTGTATTTAATGGCATAAAAGTCTTGAGTTCTTTGTAATTAAATCTCATATGATTTGCGATAATATTATATCTGATATTTGGGTCAATAAGTTTGGGCACATGCAGTTTGTTAAACCGCTCAGGGTGACCTAAGTATCCGCCACTAATAGGTACCGCTATTGTTAAGCCATGGGTATCGCCGTATCTAAAGAATATATTCTGCAGAGAAGTGCTGCCAGTTTTGTGTGTCTTCAAGAATACGACATTAGTTTGTGATTCACATGAATTGTAGTTTAAAACTTTAAAACTAATGTAAAATAAATTATTTTGTTTCATTATACATTAATTTAATTATAAATTTTAATAAATAAAGCTTACATGAATTGATACACGCCATAACAAATAAAACAAAATATGAATATACATGTAATCTGTTTTAGTTGTCTCATCGATAATGTGTTAAAAATTATATTTCTTTTTAGTAGAAATGATTTTCGTTTCATTATTTTTATTTCACGATTACTTTAATGTAAAACTAAATGTAATGACTTATGGTTTACTGTCTATCCACGTTATAAGTCAATTGCTTGGCATATGTTATTGAAATAACATTTTTAAAAATTCAAATTAAAAAAATATTTTTATAAATTATTGCAAAAATGGTTCGAAAACGCTTCAAACGTGGTATAAAAATAGATATTCTCGTCGCGTCCAACAGATTTGGTTTGAAATTAATATTTTTCTTAATTATATTTATGTTAATTATGTGCTTAATATCTGAATACTATTTGAATAAATCTCAACAATTCTCGACGTTATATAAATCTGATGACAATAATAATATTATTAATCCAACAGTTGTTAAAATTACAAATGATTTACAAAGATATTTGCCGGACATTAATAACAAACAATTTTATACACAATTTTTTAATGCAAATGAAAAGCATACAAATGTAGCCTTAAATTACTGGAAGACATGGACTGACAAGTACTCAAAAATAGCTACAAAAGAGTGGACCCGATCTAATGTGACTTCTTGTGGTAAAGCTCCGCCGCCCATTGAAAACATTAAGTTTAATAATAATTATTGGCAATTAATAGCACCAAGTGACAATTTAACTATTTATTTATACAACGCTTATTATGATAACAGAGAAACTTCTAATAAAGTTCGTATAATAGGTGTCACCAATTATTTCAATCTATTATTGAATCAAACATTATGGTAAATATTTAATTAAATTTTTAATCTAATCTAAAATTACATTGAATTTTTTACCTTTGTGGATTTAAATCAATTGTAATTTTAATTTTTATTAATTTCTATATAAAGGTGTTTATTATACTTTGAAGACAGAAAGAGATCCGTTTTAGTAAAGGTGACACAACTCAATGAGTTGTCGTATGAATTTGGAAACTACTATAAGAAACAGGGATTTTATCTATCAATTATGATGTCTTGTGATATTCCCAAAGACATCAAAAATTTTATACCCAAAGCGGTGGCCATAAAATCCAACAATAAATGTCCGTCAGATTTAAACAACTTATTAAGAGTAATATATGAAAAACCGGTGGACAGGAAAAAGGATATGTTTGCAGTTTGTGTTCGCGCTCTCTATTATTATAACATTGATTTCAGTGTTAGACTCATTGAATGGCTTGAATTAATGAGAATATTAGGAGCTAACAAAGTATTTCTCTACTCTTTCTCCACTCATCCAAATATGGAGAGAGTTATGAATTATTATCAAAATTTGGTAAACAATTTATTTCTACTTCATATAAATCTATTAAAATGAGAATATTAGGAGCTAACAAAGTATTTCTCTACTCTTTCTCCACTCATCCAAATATGGAGAGAGTTATGAATTATTATCAAAATTTGGTAAACAATTTATTTCTACTTAATATAAATCTATTAATAGTATTAAATTAAATGTAGGGTTTGGTTGAGTGGCGGTACTCAACACACGCCGGCCAACAGGTAAACAGCGCTCAACTCAATGAGCTATACGTGACTCGAATGGCCGAAAGACTCTTCCCTCAGGAGACGCTTGAACTCAACGATTGTTTTTATAAAAATGTCCACAAATACAAGTATATCATACCCTTAGATGTGGACGAAGTGATAGTTCCCGTCTCTGTTGACAATTGGCACGAAATGATCGATCAAATTCATGTAATAATAAATTCTTTAATTTTTTATGTAATCATTTTTATGCAATATATTTTTCTGTAGAAATCACTTATGAAACCAGAAAATATAGACCGGTTTGGTTCGTATCTCTTCACTCAAACCAGATTTTACAACGATTTGGTGTCCAATGAATACAATAATAATACATTCATGTATACAATGAGACACTTACATCGTGCTAATTTCACTGATAATGCACCTAAAAGTTTTCAATTAAGTCAAAATGTAAAGATTATGTGGAATCACGCGCCCATCCAATGCCTGTTTAACACGACTGACTACAAGACATGTCCCATACATTTCGTGGACAAAAAAATAGGATATCTATTGCATTATAGGCCGGGAATTAATAAACCAGAAAATTGTACAAAAGATGACCTTAAAGATTGCGCTATTTATGATCCAATTCTCGCCAAATATAACAATCTTTTAGAGATTTATACAAAAAATGCTTTGAAAAATATATTCAATTGAATTCAATTTAATTTAGCAATTAGTAATTTTAGACAAATTATTTTATTAGATTATAATAAATTGTATAAATCAAACAAATTATTATTTAATAGAATTATAATGAGTAATTTTCATTTCTAACTATTTAATAGAAATGAGTATAAATATTGCAAAATTTGCGGAAATGAATAATTTAATTATAAGAGTAATTAAAATCCAAATTAAATATCAAAAATTATAAAAGTCTCAAGTCTTCAATTGGTTTGTCTTCGCCGGCGATCTCTTCATAAGTTCTCAAATTTTTGTTATGAAAATTATTTTGTTTTTGACAAATAATGTCATTATAAAAGCCTTCAATTGCTGTCATTTGTTTGCATAAAATTATTTGGCAATATATCAGACAATAAGACATTTCTATTGATACACTTGTCATATAAATAGTCTTTAAATAATGTGTTAGAACTTATATTTCAATTTATTAAAAACTATGTTTGTTTCATTATTTTTATTTCATGTTATCCTATATGAATATCATGGATACTTTGATGTAAAACAATATGTAATGACTTGTTATTTATCAAACAAATTGTAAGGTAATTATATCCACGGTATAAGTCAATGGCTTGGCATATGTTATTGAAATAACATTTTTTAAACATTCAGATAAAAATCTAAATTATATAAATTATTTCAATATTTTTATTTATTAAAGATTGTAAAAATGGTTGGAAATCAATTCAAACATTTGCTAAAAATAGATATTCTCGTCGCGTCCAACAGATTTGGTTTGAAAAAAATATTTTTCTTAATTATATTTATATTAATTATGTGCATAACATCTGAATACTATTTGAATATATCACAACATTTGTGGACGTTATATAAATCTGATGACAATAATAATATCGATGCAAAAGTTGCTAAAATTACAAATGATTTACAAAAGTATTTGTTGAATATTGAGACCAAAGAATTTTATACACAATTTTTTAATGCTAATGAAAAGCATACAAATCTAGCCTTAAATTACTGGAAGGCATGGACTGACAAGTACTCAAAAATTACCACCGATGAGTGGAATCAATCTAGGTTGACTTCTTGTGACAACGCTCTGCCGCTCATTGAAAATATTAATTTTAATAATAATTATTTTCAATCAATAGCACCTAGTGAAAATTTAACTATTTATTTATATAACGCTTATTATGATAACAGAGAAACTTTTAATAAAGTTCGTATAATAGGTGTCACCGATTATTTCAATCTATTAGTGAATCAAACATTATGGTAAATATTTAATCAAACTTTTAATCTAA